AGCTAAAATAAGAGCACTCCAAAGATTTGTAGAGGTGGTGGTAGTTGAAGGACAAGGACGAGAGGAAGAAGGGAGTGAGGTTCTACTGCGGGGAGGTGGACGATAAGGATGGAGAGAAGTAATAACATTTATAAAGATTTAGTTTTAATTCCACTTGTTACAATGGATATTCTTTTGCTGTGACATACTGTCTTGTTTTATTTTGCTTCCAAATCTCCCCTTGTGTGCAAGGAATGGCCGGGGTTACCATTCACTAGCCGGGCGTGGGATTGAACGCAGGTCCGCAAGATTGCTAGACTAGCACGTTAAAAATGGAGGAGGAGGAGGTTTACTTTCTGAAGGGTGATTAATGACCTGGGTGGGTGACTTGGAAAAGACTGGGATGACAGCAAGTATCGAGGAGCAGGTAGTACTAGTAGTGTTCAGAGTCGTGACCAAAGGAGAGCCAGGGGTCGGGGAACCGGTAAAAGTCTGTGGTTAGTTGATAAAGGAGCAGGCTTCAGTGCCCCTATTAAGGCTACAATATCATGATTGGCCTGGAGTATTTGGGAAAAAATGGGTCATCCCTCAGGCTTCCCATGAGGGGTAAGGTTTAGATAATTAAGCAGTAAATGCCATACCTATGGCTCCCCGAAGCCGTTCAGGAATTACTCAAGGCCAGCTTTTTATCCTTTTAACACGGCTCTCACATAAGACGCGGTTCAACTGGCCTTGTCTTCGTCTAGGACTTGACTTGAGTCCGAGTGACCAGCCGGACTTGGTGTTTCAACTGCGAAAAGCGTCGCCGTAGTAAACCGCACATGCCTCTTGCTTCAATCCTTCTCGTTTAAGCAACATGGAGCACAAGGAATTACTCCGTTTAGCTGCAGTTTCCTGTTTCTTATTGTATATATTGTTTTTTTAAGAAAGAAACTGATTTACTGATTCAAAATTATTAACGCTAGTCTGACGGGCCGTCGACACGACTGTAGACTAAATCTGTTAATTAAGTAAATGTTCTATACAAAATCTCTCATATAAACTTTTGCTGACTTTATAGATATCACTTTAAATAGTTTAAACTGCATCCTGGAAAGCTCGAAGATACCCGACGAAAATCACGCTCTCGGTCGAGTTACCGCTGCTCTCCCTTCTCCCTTCACCCCCCAGATTTCGCAGCGAAGTGACGCGATTCGGCCCAGATACCCGTCTATATAAGTATATGCAATATGCAAATCGTTCGTGGGATTGACATCTAAAATTACTTAAGTATCAGCTCATTTACCACCGTTTTCTATTATCTCCCTCCCACCCTACCATGCTCTAATTCCCCCCGCCCCCCTTGCTCTCAGCTGTCTCCAAGTGACGTCATAGGCCTTATCACCCAAAGCTGCGCAGAACTCCGAAGTGACGAGACCTGTACTTATATAGACCTTGCAGATACCCGCGCTCACAGTTGAACCGCGCCTCTCCGAAGTCGTCAGAGAAGTCGTTGGAGAAGAGAAGGAAAAGGAAATGGGGTGGTGGAAAAGACCGTACAAAATTGGTTGAGCCGACGGGAGATCTCAGTCTCCGTCCCGCAAGCCCCCACCCATATAACGGGCATGGGATTGGGGTTGCGTTGGTTGGGCTTCCATATTCTTACTGGATATTTTAACACGATTTCACGGTGTAAATATCTGGTCTCATCACCGTATAGAACATTAATAAAATGGCACTACCTTTTACACTCCATTTTATATGCAAGTACTATATAAATAGTGGAAAATGTAACATACCAAAATAGATGGTTGAGCATATTTTAGCGTGAATTTAATACCATAATAATCTATTTCTTATGCAATACCTTTATTTACAAACGGCAAATGCAAGTGACAATAATCGTGTAGAGATCAGCAATGCATGGTTTGTACAAAAAATCTGGCTGTACAAGGAAAATAAAAGCTGTTCTATATTCAATGTTATTTTTTTTTATTCTTTCCAGAATGTTTGTCATTTTTGAGGGAAATAACAACTTTTTTTACATTTAAAAGAATGGCATTATAAATACTCCTCGTTTTTTCTTTGTGTATCCTTTTCATCTATGTAAAAAAGAAAATGTATTTAATATTTTATGCTACTAAAAAGATTTACTGTTTCACTGTTTTATACTTTTATGATAAACTGATATTTTAAACTTATCTCTGCATATTTATATTAGTGTTATTGAGAGACGGAGAAGAAAGGGTGAAGGAGGGGAAGAGGGAGAGAGGGAGAGAGGATGAGAGGGAGGGAGGGAGAGAGGATGAGAGGGATGGAGGGAGAGAGGGAGAGAGGAAGAGAGGGAGAGAGGATGAGAGGGAGGGAGGGAGAGAGGATGAGAGGGATGGAGGGAAAGAGGAAGAGAGGATGAAAGGGATAAAGGGGGAGGGGAAGAGAGGGATGGAGTGAGAGATGAAGAGGGGGGTGAAGGGAGAGAGAAAGAGAGGAAGAGAGGAATGGAGGGAGAGGGAGAGGGAGAGGGAGAGAGGGAGAGNGGGTAGAGGGGTAGAGGGTAGAGGGGTAAGAGAGAGAGAAGAGAGAGAGAGAGAGAGGAGGAGAGAGAGAGAGAGAGAGAGAAGAGAAGAGAGAGAGAGAGAGAAGAGAGAGAGAGAGAGAGAGAGAGAGAGAGTGTTTGTAACACTGTAAGTGAGTGAGTGAACCGAAATGGAAGGCATAGTGTGTGTGTATACAAGAGTGCGTTGTTTGCGGGTCAGTCCGTATAAGAACTATGATCATACATTCTACAAATATATAGTTCTCTAAAATATACAAAACGGTAACTAAAACAACTGTATGAGTCCATGCAAAAGAGCAAGAAAACATACAATACACCAATAAATCTCTCTTTAACAATTCCATCCTTAAAAAATGAAATATGTGACTATTCTGTATAAATATAAAGAATCAGACACTTAACACGTCTACGTCTCTTTTAAGATTCTCCTGATATTCAAAAATCCTCCAACTGCATGTATGTAATGCAATATGCAACAACCGACTGATGTAGTGATAACATTTGCATGTAAAAAGTGAGAAAGTGAACCATACCTCTAATGCACATCAACGTGAAGTAGCCATGAATTCAACCCAGAAGAGGAGGAAGGAGGAGGAGGAGGAGGAGAGGAGGAGGAGGAGGAGGAAGAGGAGGAGAGGAGGAGAAGAAGAGGAAGAGGAGGAGGAAGAGGAGAGAAAAGGAGGAGAAGAGAGGAGAAGGAAGAGGAGGAGGAAGGGAGGAGGAGGAGGAGGAGGAGGAGAGAGGAGGAAGGGAGGGGGAGGGGGAGGGGAGGGGGGAGGAGGAGGGGGAGGAGGATGGAGGAGGAGGGAGGAGGAGGGAGGAGAGAGGGGAGGAGAGGGGAGGGGGAGGGGGGGAGGGGAGGGGAAGGGGAGGAGGGGGGGGGGAGGGAGGAGGAGGGGGGGGGGGAGGAGGAGGAGGAGAGAGGAGAGGAGGAGGGAGGAGGAGGAGGAGGGAGGAGGAGGAGGGGGAGAGAGGAGAGGAGGAGGAGGAGGAGGGGAGGAGAGGAGAGGAGAGGAGGAGGGAGGAGGAGAGGAGGAGGAGGAGGAGGAGGAAGAAGTTGTGGAGACCATAATCATGTTATGACTTTTCCTGTTTTTGATTAAGCTGCAATATCTTTTAATAAATATCAATTCAAATGATTCTGTTTTACAATATTTATACAATACGTCTTACCTATTGGTCAACCACTATACAGGTTTAATGTGATAAAAGTTTGGCAAGTGATTACTTATAGAGGGAGGGGTGCTATAGAGAAGAGGGTGAGGGAGACAGAAAGGAGAGAGCTAAGACAGTAAAGAAAGAAAGAAAGAAAGAAGGGAAAGAAGGAGGGAGAGAGAGAAAGAAAGTACCTACAACTTGGCATCACACATACATCTTTTCAGAATCTTCCAGCGCTTTGACAAAATGGCACTGCAGTTAAAGACTAGAAGCTGGCCTTTTTTTTCCTTTTCCCAATTACAAGAGGAACAAACAAGCACCATGTCGTACCACTTGTTAATTTCTCAGGACTGGTTGAATATGGCCTCTGCTATGGCTACCTTGTCTCTGCATGAGGAAATGCTGCTTCAGTGGCAAAGTAATAACAGGAACCTGGTAACAGTACACTTTGGCTATATGTTGTAGAAATGGCACAGCAACAGATGCCAATGCATATAAACACCATCATTATCATTATACATGCAAACTAAATAGTATATATCAATTATATCTGTAGGTAACACATCATTCTTCTTGCAAAATCTTTCATTTCTTTTCTATCACATAATCATCAGGCCTATTCAGAAACACAAAGCAGTTTGTACACAAAAGGGGCATTCAAGTCCCATATAAAAAACAAACCTTAACTCTACTGATTATTTAGTATCTGTGATACTTTAAAATTACAAAATAATTGTAATAATAATAAAAAAGTTTAAAATAATAATAATAATAATAATAATAATATTCATACTGAATACAAAAGAGAAAAATAAATACCTGTTCAAATAAAAATACTATTTATGGCTGAATGCTGTGTATCCCATTTATTCCTTTTCTTACTTAAAGTGAAGGCGAAGACACTTATGTCATTCCATAAATACCAAATAAATGAATAAACATATTAATAAATCAATACTCTTGTTTACCCTGAAACATTCCCGAATAAAATAATATGGTCCACATAAATCCTCGAAAATAATAAGAGACAAGGAACATTACCTGACAAAAGCTTTTTTTCTCATATCATTTTTTCAATGTGACCTTTTAATGCTTCAGAATATCTATATTATATAAGAGATACAAACAGGTAGTATTTATTGACCTGATGCCCTGCTGGTGCACATAAGTTTACAACACGAGACTTCCAGAATACTATTTAGAAACAGTTTAGAAGGATATACCAACAAACAGCATGCTAGGACATACGGAGCAATGTGTAGTAACTGACCGAGGAAAAATACAAACTTTATATGATGTTTGTTGCATTTACATCAGTTAAAGCTTATCCTCCTACAAGTTGTTGAGTTGTTGTTTATGCATTACTTTTAAATATAAATATATAAACATCTATATAGGCATATATCCATCCTATCATATAACATGAAGCAGAGAGTGAGAATCATACCAATGAATTCTTGACTTTTGGTTTTGAATCCAAAATTTCCATAGCCTTATAACAAAAATTCCTTTTCAGACACGTATTCTCCTAACAATACCTATTTATATTTTTTCCTGAACTCCATTCCTTTTTTTCCTTTGCATCTTATCTACCCATTTACTACAAAACTTTCGGTTTCCTTCTTTTACCTATATAAATATAAAGAAATGAAAGAAAGAAAGAAAGAAAAAAAAACAGCAGCTTTCCTAACCAGGTTTCAATATCAAGGTTTTATCTTCAGCAACAAGTGGTTTCCACCATAGCTAAGGAATTACTATCAATAATACATTGCACTTCGCAACAATGTCCAATTAATGCAAACTTGTAGGCATCCTGTTGTCCTCAATTTCAACATGCTCTAAAAAACCCTAAGAAATGTATCCTTTTCTCAGTTGTTTAAGCTACAAAAAATAAATACATAAATAAATGATATGTTGCAATTTGTCTTTCATATGCCTAATGAAAGACATAGAAGATTCTA